TATTATTATTATTTTTTTTTTTTTTTTTTTTTTTTTGGTAACCACCACTACCTTTCACAGGCAAGCTCAAAACATCAAAATGAAGCATTCCCGGATGCTGGACCGGTTTCTTGCTGAGTATAGCTGTTTGGACATTCTCTTTGGAAGCTAAACTGGCTGAGGCTGCCAGGTAAATCTCCGGGTCGAATTGTGAGGTTCTCGGCCTCAATGTTTGAATTTTAAGGAAATTTCGTGTTGCTTCCCCTCCCCCCCCCATCCCCCCTTCAAAAAAAAAAAAAAAAAAAAAAAAAAAAAGGGAAAAAAAAAAAAAAAAAAAAATCCTTCCTCCTCTTTCCCTTTCCATCGCCTCCTTCTGCCATAGACTTCCTCCGTCTCCTCTGCCATGGCCCCCTTCAAAAAAAAAAAAAAAAAAAAGAATCATTCCACGATGTTGGGTCACCAGTGCTACCAGAGCAAAATGGCTGGTGGCGCCAACCGAAAACGAAAATACTAGTAAATGTGGCGCTGGCACTTCACCAAAGCTTGGTGTGCACATCTTTTCCGCCTTGGCTCGGAGAGGATCCGAGGTGGTGGTGGTGGTGTTGGTGGTGGGGATCATTAATTATTGTTTCTTGGTTGGTTAGTTGTATAACTTGTATTGTATCAACATGGCGAGACTTGTACGTGAGAGGCACGGTGAAGGGGGGAAATTAAACGGCAAAGGAGAAAAATGAATGGTTTCAGTGTGGACCCCATGTTTGTCTTGTTTTCTAATCTTGACCGTTTGTTTTGCAAAGTGTGCCCTTTTAGTTCATAATTATGTTATCATGATAAGCATCATTAATATCATTGATATGATGTTATAGCAATAGCTAGCACAGTCTGAAAAGGTAAAAAAAAAAAAGAAAGTATGTTGTTATTGAACTTATTGTGTATGATTTGTTTTATAACTTTTATTAATGATAATACTAGCACTGAAGTTAATACTAGCACTAATGATAGTGATAGTAAGAGTATGGGACGTTTCTATTTTTGGGTTGGTGAGCGCCTCGACCTTAAGTTTTCTTTGTGTTTGCGATTTCCATGAGCAGTGTGGGGAACTTTGGTGCTGCCTCATGCACTACAAAAAACTGGCTCTTTTCAGTCTGTTGTACTATGAGAACGTCCATGTGCTCTGTTTGTGGGAGGGGAAGACGACAAAAAGAGCACATAAGTATTTTTTGCCACCTCGTGCAAGAAAAACACCCGACTACAGTATGATCGCAACGGTGGTGTGCTCCATTTGAGGGAGGACATACGAAGTGCTGCGCGCCCTTGTCGACATATTCTCTGGGCATTGTTCACGACACGGGCCAGCGGAAAGACACGAGTTTCTGCTGACCAGCCTTCAATACATATCCTGTGATGAGTAATCAGATTAAGTCCTGGTTGAAAAAAAGTAGGCATGATGACTGGTGGTTTCACCAACCGCCCAATGTTGCCCGTCTTCCCCTGAACGCAGTAGGGCACCCCCCATCACAACTGTACCGGAGCGGAAAGATCGTACCAGCTTCCCCCCCCCCCCCCCCCCCCCCCCGCGTCTAGAACGCACTGGCATTATTGCTTTCTCTCTTCTTTAGTGCCATTTTCCGTGTCCTCTGGTTCCTTGCCTTCCTCGTAAGTTCCTACCTGTCCTTTGCCGTCCGTGGCTTCGCTGCTTTATCGTCCTCTTCACCCCAGGGCACTCGAGTTCAATGGCTTTGACAGTTTGTGCTGCTGCTTGTCCGAGATCTTGGTGGGGAAAAAAAAAGGGTTGCAGTGATAATCTAAGAAATGTGGTGGTAATGTAAATTCCCGCACGAATGTGAAGAGAAGGGTGTAGGTCTTAACAGATGCAGTGAGCGGGGGGTTTGGGATGGTTATGATGAACAAGGTGACCGTTGGATAAGCAGTGGTCATCTTGTGTCTGTGAGGCTTCCCCTCCCTCCTCTCCCCCCCCCCCCCCCCCCCCCCCCCCCCCCCCCAACCCGGCCCCCAATACGGTGGATTTTCCTAGTTCTAGTCACCTGGAAAGAAAGGCAACGAAATTGAAAATAACCGTTTCGGCATAGCAATAACAATGCGTGCTCCTTGGCCTCATGTCTCCGTCAGGATTGGGCCATATCATCACAATTGCTAGTTTCTGTCCATCTGGCGTATAATGGATGACCACTGAGCAGAGGATGGATAGATAGGGACGCTTTGGGCCCGCCTCTAGCGAGCCTGCTGATTTACTTAGCCGCTCGAGTGGCCTTTCTGCTGTATTTATGAGTTTTCAGTTTTCAGGACTTTTATGTAACCATTGTGAGCGATCCAGTGTATAGCCAGAGTTTTTTTTTTTGTTGTTGTTGTTATATCTGCCCTAAAGTTGACACTTCCTGCCGCCATTTACTGGAAGCAGCTTTCAATTTTTTTTGGTTACCTTTAGGCTGTGTGTCGAGGTTGTAGAGATGGTCGCACATTTCAGTCGTCAGTCTGGAAGCAGGTCGTGATGGATCCAGCCCACCAAGGTTGTAATTTCGGGACCGTGGGCAAGTAGGCCCCACATTTCTGGCTGTCGATGACAAAGATAAAGGGTCAGAAGTCAAGAATGGGGGTTTAGTGAGACGTCAATCCCGGGGCAAAGGCTCGCAGAGCAGACGTTTCGCCGCGTCTGAATCCCACGGGCTCGTCAGCAGAGTTGCTCCAGACGCTTTGCTGCATCTGAATCCCACGGGCTTGTCAGCAGAGTTGCTCCAGACGCTTCGCCGTGTCTGAATCCCACGGTCTCGTCAGCAGAGTTGCTGCGTCCAAGAAATCACAGGACAGGAAACACTCCTTTCGCAAACTCGTTTTGTAAAATACAATGTCACGAAGGTTCCGCTGTACACCAAGTCATCAGTGCTTTGGTGCCGTTGATTCCAGGTTGGGGATCTGTGGCCTTAAATCATCAGAACTTGCTCATGAAAACATATTGGCCCTCTCCCTCTTTAAATGGAAACAAAAAAAGAGGGAAAAAGGAAACTGACCGGCCTAGCTCGGTTGGTCATGCGTTGCGACTGCTGAATTATGAGTCAGACCCAAGTTCGAATCCAGATACAATCAGAGGAACAGAAGAACGTAATTGTGAATTAGATGGGGCCGGTCAGCTCAATACGGTGATAGCTTGAGGCCGTCGCCCTTTTATTAAAAAAAAGGAAAAGGAAAAAATAATAATAAAAAAGAAAAAGAAATGAGCGAGCTGTGTCATTCCAATCGACTGATTGGGAAAAAAAAGGGGGGGAATGACTGTGGCAACCGTGGCAGCTGTGAAAGGTAGTAATGGTTTACGTATGGCCGTTTCTTATTGACGCAGCAGGCACTGCGATGAACTTAACGGGAGAAGGGGGAAGTGACATGGTAAGCACGGAAGCTGTGAAAGGTAGTGGTGGTCTATGTGTTTGGTCGGCGTCCTTATTAATGTCGGCGTCGTTAATGAGAGGGATTATACATGCTGACTCCTCCATTTTGTAGTGCCGTCCTGCGAAGGAAAGAGTTGCTGCTGCTCCATTTGCATTTGTGCACTCAACAGTGGCAAAGTCGACCACAGAGCCTCCCTCTTTCTCTCGCTCCCTCTCCCTGCGTCTCTTTCTCTCCCCCATCCCGTGTTTGGTGTGTTTGTGGCTGTCGTACTGAATCGTGATGCTTTTTCTTTTGTTATGTATTGTCTGGCATGGTCAGGAGGCATTTTGGACCATCGAGTGTTTCGACTGATGTGCTGGCGACGGCTTGAGTCTTCAGGATTTCGACTGATGCGCTGGCGACGGCTTGAGTCTTCAGGATTTCGACTGATGCGCTGGCGACGGCTTGAGTCTTCAGGATGCTGTAGATGTTGACAGCGCTTCGTCATATCTTTGGTACCGTGGGTCTGGACCAGAAACACTCTCTCTCTCTCTCTCTCACACACACACACACACACACACACACACACACACACACACAGAGAGAGAGAGAGAGAGAGAGAGAGAGAGAGAGGCTCATGGCGGTTGAGGCTGCTTTCCTCATGTGTGAAGTGGACTGTTTGTTTTGTAGAGGCGCGTTTGTCCTTGCTTGCTGGTATGACAGCAGCACTGGCTCCCTTGCTCTTTGTACAGCGGGAGGGAATCGTCCAGAGAGGGACCGCACTAACCTTTCTCTGCCCGTATGATTGGTTGGCTGTGACTGTTGTTGTTAGTTTTAGATGTGAAAGAAAAGGGGGAATATGCACAGGGTTATAGTGAGTGTAACGGCCCTGATGTTGGGAAGAGAAAGCAGTCGTGCACACACGATAGGGATTACAATTGTAGTGGTGTTTGTGTGGGTGAAACCACGTCGCAGTGCCTCTTGTACAGTTAGTTTTTCCGATTGCCTGCCTTGTCTTTTCTCGTCCCTCACTGAACGCACGCCATGCGGTCAAGTCAAGGCTTTTGATGGGTTTTGATGGGTCCCTGAGCGCACCGAAGTGTTTGTGGCCGGAACTCACGTACAGGTCAGTATTACCTTTTTTTATGCGTTGTGGATTCAATCTGTGATTCATCTAAATGTTGGACTCTTTAGATTTGTGAATGCGTGCATCTTTGTCAAAGCCCACTCCGTACTATCCACGGCTTGGTGGTCGTGCTGCCAAGTATGATAATATGGAATAGAACAGTAAGGGTAGACAGATTAGGTTTGGTATCTGCCTACCAAATCGGGAAACTCCTGCTCCATTCCATCTCTTGCAGCTGGCACCTATGAGCTGTGTACCTATTAGGGAGAGCCTTCTGACGGATGCAAGGAGCAACATTATCGCATTATCAATAATAAGGGTTAACCCAGTCATCGTCAGGACGGTGTTCGAGGAGAGGTTTTCTAAGGTGAGCTAGATCGAGATGGATGTTCAAGGTAGGCCATGCAGGACAGTCAGCAGGGAGGAGATAAAACCTGCATTGACCGGTACTCAGAGTGTGCCGTGCATACGAGCCCTGGCTGTCTGGGTGAAGCTGCTATTTATATGTTGCTCCACATGGAGGAGATAGAGTCAGGGTGGTGGGGAGTCCAGAGGGTGACGAGACTGAGGGGTAGAAGGAGAGGGTGAGGAGGAGAGAGTGAGGAGGAGAGGGTGAGGAGGAGATTGTGAGGAGGAGGAGATTGTGAGGAGGAGGAGATTGTGAGGAGGAGGAGAGGGTGCGGAGGAGGAGAGGGTGAGGAGGAGGAAGAGACTGAGGAGGAGAGGGTGAGGAGGAGGAGAGGGTGAGGAGGAGGCTGAGGGTGAGGAGCCAGGAGGTCGAGGATAGGATAGGGGAAGTGGAAGAGAGGGAGGAGGAGACATTACATGTAGATACAGGAGGAATGGGAGGCAGCGAAGCGCAAATAATGGTTACGTTTGTGTGAGTCTGTTTGGCATGGATGGGGGTTGGTGAACTAGAGGCATAGATGGACTCTGGTGGTAGAATCTGGTTTGTTCCCTGGTTGGTGCGCCAACTTGGCCTGGAATTCCATTAGCGAGGAAAAGAGACACTGGCCATGACTGATGCGCATCTCGTGCACGCGTGGCAAATGATGGCTGCCTCTGGAACATTGTTTTCCTGTTAGCAATCGATTATCCTGTCTGCCGTTGTCATCCTCATGCTAGCCGCGACTTGGATTTGTTAGATTCCGCTTTTGTCAGATAGACATATTCAGTACGGAGGCATGTGAAGGGTTAGATCGAATCTTCAAAATCGCTTTTGCTTACCGGATGTTGTTTGCTGAAAGAATGTACACGCGGCATTACAAACATAAGGTAACCGTCAGGGTCAGCAAGAAGCCACAGTCAAGTCTTGCGAACTCTTGTTGTGGTCCTTAATGCAGCAAATGCTTCCGAGAAAGGTCTGTGATCGGCTTGGATCCTCTGTGCAGGCAGGCCTGCACACACACACACACACACACACACACACACAGAGAGAGAGAGAGAGAGAGAGAGAGAGAGAGAGAGAGAGAGAGAGAGAGAGAGAGAGAGAGAGAGCATCATTGGTGTTGTAGTCGTGGTGAGTAGTGGGGGTGAGTGCTAATTGATCTCAGTGGAAGAGCTGGGCGCAGTTATCTTTGGTATGACCTGGTCGGGGTACGGCTAGGATCAGGTGTTGATTGCTTTGGGGAAACAGTTGGATGATGGCATCAGTCATAAGTCGGGCGCAATCCAGGCAAAGTTGGTCAGCTTGGCTTGAATCAGGTTGACTCAGTGGTATGACCTGGTCAGGGTACGGCTAGGATCGGGTGTCGATTGCTTTGGGGAAACAGTTGGGTGATGGCATCAGTCATAAGTCGGGCGCAATCCAGGCAAAGTTAGTCTGCTTGGCTTGAATCAGGTCGACTCATCGCTGGCTTCATAGTGTGCAATTTTGGATGGTGTTGGTGGCCAGCCAGGGCACTCTGCAATTGGTGTAATCATGGTTGTGTTGAAGGCCACCGCTGCCGAGGTCTGTGGTTTGTGGGAGGGCAAGGGTATCGACTTGACGGAAGTGGATACGCTGTTGGAAAGCGTGGCATCATTGTCGGTACTTGGAAATCTGTTTCCGCATACGCTGTCAAGCCGAAATGCTGCAGATGAATGGCTGGTTGTCGGACTGACTATCTGGTTGGCTGGCCAAGTGTTTCGGCAGAGGGATGGTATTTCATAGTGACGGCGCATTGTGTTCCCCCCTCTGAGCGATATCGCTGACGATATTGTGACATGGTCGGTCAGGCCGATTCGTGTACAAGGGAGTCTGAACTGCCATGCAGGTTTCATGTTTGACCGGCAAAGGGTTTTGGCATATTGGCTGTTGCAGGCTGGCATCGGTGCTACTTGGAGAATGGCTGCAGTCATGGTGCCCAGACGACTAACGTGGTTGGTGGACATGCTGCGGATGTCGGGACACGGTGGAGTAACGAAGGGCCAGACAATCAGTTTGTCGTTTTCTGGCAGATGGTGGGTGAACGACCAGACCTGTGCTACAGGTAGTTGGGCATAAGATCAATTTCATTCACTCTTTGAGCGACCGATGTTGAGAAATGAGAGCACGGCTATTGCACGAGTGTTGTGTTCGTGCCCTTCGGCAATCGTTGCCAACCCTATGAAGACCATTGCACGGCGATCAGATCAGACATAAGTTACCTGCAACCAGAGAGTGGGTTTGTTGTTACAGCAGGCGATGAAAAGAAGGATATTCAAGCCTGAGCTGAACATCAAGCGAAGTCCGTCTTGTTCTTATCAAATGGGTTCTGAGAGCAGTGGACTGCCGTCTTCACGGTCATTATCGCTGCATATGGAACTGAGAGTTGACCCAAATACAGCAATAACGACCGGGCGTTTTATTTGGGTGAAGACGGTAGTGTCTACCATACAAGTCATCCATCCTTTGGCAACCGTTGCCTGATGCGAAGAAGCGGCCGTTGGAGCATGGGCAGGAGGAAGTTGGTTGATGTCAGCTGTTAATCCGCGCAGGGCGTGACAAGGTAGGGTGGACTGGTGAACGGGTAGCCGTGTCATGGGCGTGACTGAAATGCTGTTGACAAGGGGCGTCACCTTTCGGCAGTCAGCATTCAATGCCCAGGTCATCATGGAGAGGGGGATGGGCCAGCCTCTTTAATCAGGTATGTCGGGCCGTGACCATGCGGTCTGCATTTTTGCCTCAAGAAGGGTGGAGTGATGTTTACCTGGGGGAGTGGTATTGCCTGTTGTTAGACAAGACGTGCAACAGGGAAATGTTCTTGTGGGAGCTGTGCATCCCACAGAAGAGTTAGATTGATGATGAACTGGCCTTAGGGTGTTATTCAGATGATGATGATGATGATGATGATGATGTATCTGGTGCTGGGAACAACACTGTATGTCAGAAATTGTGTGCAGAATCTGCAGATAGAAGAGCAAATATCACTCAGCATGTCCTTAGGAGGCGAGGTGTACATGTTGTAGTTAATCTCCAGCGGTAGTCTGTCTATAATCTGTCTTCCCTGTCTTCTTATCTCAGTCAAAAAAGTCAAAACATAAATATCTGACTGATGTAACGGCTTGATTTCTCTCTCTGATTTGGCGGCTAGTTAGGGCATGGTGTGACCAGGCAGGCCGGTCGGTGTTGTATAGGAGCTGTTTTTGGGTGCCGTCGGGCTGTGTGGGTGTGGCATAGGCTTGTGCTCTGTGCGAGGTAAGAACAATGAATCGGCTAGAATTTTTTTAGTCCCCCCCCCACCCCCCGTGCCCCTTTTCTTTGATAGTAATCATAGAGGATATATGACTTTTTGTTTTGCACTGTTCAAGCTGTAGTTGAAAGAGCCAGGAGTTATGAGAGAGGTCGTGCCGTTTCAGGGTGCATGGCGTAGAGAGAGTGTGGGGTTGCTTGATTGGCTGAACCTCTTACGTGCTTTCCTTGTGTGTGTGATTGCCCTTTGCCCTGCTCTCAGCTTATACTGTCTTCCCACATGGCTGCCTGGTCCTGCTGCTCTTAGGTTTTGCACCAGATCGGGTTGATGTCAACTGCTATGGTCTTCCCCCGAATACAACGTACGGTCATTATAGCTGTATCTAGTCTGAAAGATGGCTCAAATGCAGCTATATAATGACGGTACGTTGTATTCGGGGGAAGAAGGTAGTCAATTGAATTTTTCCGAAGGCATTTAGACACCGCAAGTATGATTATCACCAGGCCAAGAGGGTGTGCGTCTGTGTTGATGTCAACTACTTTTTTGGGCTGCGACTATGATGCCGACTTGAGAAATCCGCGGGTTTCGATGTTGCACCAAACACCGAGAGGGTGTGTGTCTGTGTTGAGCAAACACCCTTGGATAGGGCAAGAGAGTCGTGGAAATGCGGGACACGTGCTCGATTTGTTGTGGAACAAGCCACAATACGGGTGGTCGGTAAAGGCGCCTTCATGCGTGTTGATCATCACGCGGCGTCACATGGTGCTATTTGAAGTACACGGGATCATCGTCTGGGTTGCTGCGGGATCAGCGAAGGTCCGGGAATCAGCGAAGTACACGGGACATACGGAAGTTCTGAGGATGTAAGGAGTCGGCAAATGAGAGGTCGGCCCGGTAAGTTAGAGATATTGGGTATGATGGGAATTACTTCAGTTATATTTATCGTCTTATAGAAGGGGAAGTGCCGCCCTTGGTTGAGAACGTGTACCTTTTTTGAAAACAATAAGGCTTCGATGAGCCAGCCTTCCAGATCTGTGTGTGAGCAGGTGGCAGATCTGGCGGAAGCCGGGTGGTGCAAGGTGCAAGCATCACGGTCTGTGTACGTGTGTCTGTGTTTGTGTGTGTGTGTGGAGAGAGAGAGAGAGAGAGAGAGAGAGAGAGAGAGAGAGAGAGAGAGAGAGAGAGAGGTATGGAAGGGAAGCTGAGGGAGGAGGAAGCTGACCAGCGGAATATGGCAGAGAGAGAGAGAGGTATGGAAGGGAAGCTGAGGGAGGAGGAAGCTGACCAGCAGAATATGGCACATTGATTGGGAGCCCTCGTCCCTTGCGGGTAGAGAGATGGTGGGAAAGGGCTATGGAGCTTCTGGAGATTTGCAGAATGACACATTCAATGAACATGGCACAAATCAGTTAGAATGACACGTTCAATGAACAATTTTTTCCATTCGCAGAATACTGAATTGTGCGTCAATGGTGAGAGGATGTCATGTCTTGAAGGTAGGAGAGAGAGAGAGAGACAGACTCCAATGTCATTGACCTGATGAGCATGTGAAGGGTTTTAAAAGTGCGGCGAATCTGAAGGTACCACGGAAGCAAGAACTTGACTGTCGACATTGAATTGGATTGATGCAGACGTTGCTGCAGCAGGGGAGTGAGCTGATGATTTGTTGTTGTTGTCAATGGTAGATTGAGATATGAGCGCAGGAAGGAGGCTGGCTGGAAATGCTGAATAGGTCAATTGGCTGATCGATTTGCTCTTCGGACAGAGGATTGGAAGTCGACGCATGAAAATGTGACACTCGGAGGAGTGCGGGCCAGAGGGGCTAGAGACACGCTTGTGTACGAGTGTGGGGTGGAGGGACTAGACACTCGTAAGTGAACATAGGTCAAGAGACCGAGAAGGTAAGGAGGATAGAGGACAGTAGTCACAGATGTGAAATGTGATATAAGTATCTTCTTTGTTGCAAGCAATAAGAGAGGCACAGGTCTCATGTTTTTCCTTTTTTTTGTTTTTTTGGTTTGCTTTTTTTTTCACTCTTCGAGTGGGCGAGTGGGCTTTGGAAGTGACAGTTTTGGTGAACTTAATGATTGTTATGAACATTCCCAGTTGCAGTTTATCATTCTCTTCTTCCCCCCCCCCTCCCCCCTAGCTTTTTTGTCACTACCCCTGCTTTTCTCTGGAGCATGTTTGGCCCACGGTGCACACACGGGATTGGCATTTGAACTACCCCTGCTTTTTTTGTCCCTACCCCTGCTTTTTTGTCTCTACCCCTGCTTTTTTTGTCACTTCCCCTGCTTTTCTCATGAGTGGGCCTTGGAGGGCAGGAGGTTTTGCGAATGCGTAGTGCTTGATGGATGGATGCTGTTTCTTTCGTTCGTTGTGACAACTTGTCAGAATGCTGTTTCTTTCGTTCGTAGTGCTTTGTTCTAGCTGTCTAGGGTGTGGTGAAAAGTTGAGAACACAATTTTTAATTTTATAAAAGTTAATAAAACAGGGTTCATTCTATCTGTCCATAAGGGGAGTATGTCTTCGTCGGGCAAGCGACGAGTATGTCTTCGTCGGGCGAGTACTAGTATCTGGCCCGAGCGTCCACCGCATGTGAATGGGCCTGGCGATTGTCAATGTGGAATTTGTGGTGGTGGGAGATGGTCCTCAGACAGTCGGACTCATCCGCATGCTTGTGTCAGGTGACTCATTTTGTCACAGAAGGAGGACTGCACTGGTGTGCTTGGCTTACATGCAGCGAATGCGTCTCATTTTTGCACAGAATGAAGACTGCACTGGTGCACTTGGCTTACAGGCAGAGAGAGGTGTAGCAAGGCAAGGGTGGTTTCGCACTTAAGGGGCCCACAAGATCGATGGAGAAGGTATTTATTGAGCCTCGTGTTGTCTCTGGAGATCTGCTTCTTTTTATTCTACTCCTCTCTGAAAGCGATAGAGAGCTCGCTTTCAGGGAGTACCTACAGTTTTGGAATTAACCATACTAAATAGTAAATAATAAATAATAAATATTGAATTCCTCCTTCAACGAGCAACTGCGTACTTACCACAGTCATTTACAGAAAAGAGTCAAAAGACTGTTTGCACTGCTAAGTTCTGATTAACTGGAGATAGCGTCGACGAGCAAGGGAGTGGTAGCACAAAGGTGGGGGTGGGGGTGGGTTAAGTTTGTTAATGAACACGAGAAGAAAAAGGGGAGGCGCGAGTCGCGAATTGCGAGGTTGAAACCACCGGTTACCTTTCCCCGCTTGAAAATCAATTCCGCGCCCGGTTTCCTGGAAGCCAAGCGGGTGGGATCAGACTGCCGTCGACAAGTTTCATCGGCAGCCCGCTTTCCGTTTCGGTGCCCTTTTTTTCTGCCCGCGGCCGACATGTGGGAAAGGTCGGGGCTGCATTTCCCGATGCGGATTCGCACTTGACATCGACGAAAAACCAACTGCCAGCGCCAGCGGTGCACTTTTTTTTCACTTTTTTTGCCGACACTGCCAGCTATTCTGGTCCGGAAGCGCACTGCTCACCTGAAATCTTCGGATTGGATGAATTTTGAATCTCAAGTTTTGTGTGGGTGATGTACTTGTGGTCCGAATGGTTCTTTTTACTTTTTTCCCTCTCAGGTGTGTCACTTTATTTTGGCGAATGATTCTCTACTTTTCCCTCTCAGGTGTGTCACTTTATTTGGGCGAATGACCTCTGTACTTTTCCCTCTCAGGTGTGTCACTTTATTTTGGCGAAGGATTCTTTACTTTTGGCGAACGAATGAACGGACGAGGGAAAGGGAATGGCTGAAGATAAAGAAGGAATGAAAGGGTGAGAGGGAACGATGCGATGAAGGATCAAATTTGGGGGGGGGGGAAGGGGGAGGGGAACGGGGAGGGGAAAAAGGGACGTGGCAGGGAAATGATGGGAAGCAGCGAGTGAAAGGGAAAGTGGGGTCCTTTAGGGAAAATCCGTTAAACCATCGGACCCTGAATTGACGAACCCATAACTGCGTTCTGCCGAGCCTACAATCTACAGTGCACATGGTTGTTTTATTTGAGGGAGCTACCGTTTCCAATACCTTGGTTGCTTTTGCTTCTCATCTTCTCCTTTTCCTTCCTCCCTCTGTAGAATTCGTTAACTTTCCCTTGCTCTCCCCGCCTTTCAAATTCTTTCCTGGCCATTAAAACAAAAAGAAAAAAAGTAGAAAGCCAACCCATCAGGAGTTCCAGCCATCCAGATGCTGTCCGGATTAAGAAAAACATGGATGAAGAATTTCAACATTTTCAGATTTAAAGTAAAAAAAAAAAGAAATTCAAAACCAGAGATAAGATACTTTTATCCAGCATTTTCCATGCAGCATTGCAATGATAGAAGCAGCTTACGGCTGCGGGGTCATCATCGCCAAGTTCATACCCACATGCAAGGAAAGCAAAACAAAGATCAACGAAGACATGCATGTGAAAGATGTCCAGGCCGTCCCGATCCAGACCGTCGGGATATATCCAGTGGTGGGGTCCGGGATACATGCGCTTTCCTTCTATTCCACGATTTACGTTCTTTCCCCCATTCCCTTCCTTCTCCCCCTCCTCTTCCTTCTCCCCCTCCCCCCGCACACCCTACCCGCCCACTCCCTGACCTCTCTTTCTCTCCTCCTTCACTTTCCTTCTTTTTTTTCCCCTCCCTCTTGCCTTCTCTCTTCTTTCCTGTTTATCCCTCTACCTTACTTTCCCTTGCTTGTTTTTATTTATTAAAATGTGGACAATTTCTCAATTTCCATCTGTCATCCTTGCGCAGGGGCCGTGCTAATCTTCCCTGCGTCATCCCAATTTTTTTTTTACACCACCGGTCCATTGGATCCCGTAAGCAAAATCCAATAAGCAAAATCCCTCTTTTCTCGGTACTGAATCCCGTAAGCAAAATCCACAGCGAATCAGTGGTCATGCAAGGCCTAGGTTCAGCCGGAAAAGGCTGGTGAGCCCAGAAAGAGATCTACTGAAATCGAAATCGGGGAAAGAAAATACAGAAGAAACTAGGCTGGGCTATGAAGAAAGAAAGAAACGAAGGAACTGAAAAAAAACAAAGATTTGGCCGCGACAGGCTGACCGAGGTTTGATACATTATAGTTGAGTATGCCCTCAGTGAGAGGGTGTATACTGAGAACGTGGAGTGGAATACGCCCTGCCTAGCTGAGCTGACAGGGCACAAAGAAATAAAGAAAAGAAGGGGGGGGGGGAAAGGAAATAAAAAAAATTGGGGTGTAATAGGGATCAGATACATTCTGGGAAGTACTACTGTCTTCCCCCGAATAGAACGTATACGGGCATTATAGCCATATGTGGCTCACCTTTGAGTCCAGATGCAGCACAAACGACCGTACGTTCTAGTACGAGTATGCCCTATTCAGGGGAAGTACCTAGTATGAGTATGCCCTCAGTGAGGGACTCCCCAAGGTCATGGAGGGAAGCAGACAGTTGAAGAAATGGAAGGGGGATGAAACAATCAAATGACGGAAAGCCGGGAAAGGGTGAAAAACACACTCACACACACATCACACAGAAGAAGGGGCGTGTCAAGGAAAGAGCCAAGGCAACGCGAACCTGAAGGAAGAAACAGAAGACAGGACGGAAGAATGGGATGGAACAAGGCAAGGCAAGCAATAACAAGAGAATCAGAAGGCAGGGGGTGGGGAGTGGGGGGTGGGGAGTGGGGGTGAGGGGAGGGAGAAACAGAGGTTAGAGACAGGAAAGATTAGCACGCAAGACTGAAAGCAAGCAGACTAGAAAGGGAGAGGGAGGGGTGGACAAAGGGATGAAGTGGGTAAAACCAACAAAAAAGTACAAAAAAAAACGCCTCAGTCAGATCAATTTACATATTTCACGCAATTCCTTTGGTTATGTGTATTTTATTTGAGTTTTTATGTGTTATTATGTAATGTAATGATGGATTACCGAAAATAAGTCGAATTCTCAAATTACGAAAACAATTCAAAACTCAAAAATTGAGTTTCAGTTTTCTCACATACACACCTGTCTTGGTGACAGGTATGGTGCATGCCCAAGAATCTCCAGACTGTTGTCAAATAACAATACAATGCAGGGTATGTTTTTTAAATTTTTTTGAACCAATTAACCAACCAACCAACCAGATTTGTGGATAAGCAGGAATGTGAGAATGAAACCAACCAACCAACCAGATTTGTGGATAAGCAGGAATGTGAGAATGAAACCAACCAACCAACCAGATTTGTGGAGAAGCAGGAAGGACTAAGAATGAATCTATCATTAACAATGAATGAGGCGACAAACATAGAAGAGAGGTTCGTCCGTCCTTGCTTGCACACGATCCTGGAGGATCCACACCCAACGTGGTTTCTAACCCCCTTCCCTCCCCCCCCAGAAATTACCAGCCCATAATACGACCACCGGCCAGATGAGGCTGTGCAGAGGAAAAGGGCTTCGACTCCAGAGG